TAGAAACTTGAAGCCACCAGTGAAGTGTTCAGCAGATGAATGTGTCAGACTCTGCACGGACATCATTCAAACCGCACACTGTAGGAACAGGAAGAACGTTTTTGACTGGCGGGGGTTCATATTTCTTAAAAATCTCAGTGATTCTTGCGTACATTACTTAATGAAAACCTGTCTTTGTACCCTACTTTGCAGAGGTGCTAAAGGAGGTGGATGAAGTCTTTGAGAAATACAAAGCTGAGCAGGATGCGGCTCAGAGAAAGCGGCTGCAGATCCAGCTGCAGAGAGCGCTCATCATCAGCCAGGAGCTGGGCGACGAGAAGATCCACGTAGTGACCCAGATGACGGAGCTGGTTGAGAACCGCTCCCGCCAGATGGACTCCCACTCCCTCTGCCTCCAGGAGCCAAGCGAGGCAGAGCGCCTCACTACGGAACGGCGCTCCAGTGTCCAAGACTCCCCGGCGCCCGAACGCACCTCAGCCCGTCGCCCGCGACGCCAGCGCAACAGCGAGAGCCGAGACTCGAGCCACCCATCGGCCAACGGCTCCCTGGTGGACGACCCCGCGGAGGAGCTGTCCATCCCCCCGCCCCGGGAGAAGAAGTCAAAGTCTGCGAAGAAGAAGAAACGCAAGGCCAAACAGGAGCGAGACGCCTCGCCGGTCGACTTCGCCATCGACCCCAACGAGCCCACATACTGCCTCTGTGAGCAGGTGTCGTACGGCGAGATGATCGGCTGCGATAACGACCAGTGCCCCATCGAGTGGTTCCACTTCTCCTGTGTGGGGCTGACCTACAAGCCCAAGGGCAAGTGGTACTGCCCCAAATGCAGAGGGGACAACGAAAAGACCATGGACAAAAGCCTAGACAAAAACAGAAAAGACCGCAGATCCAGGTAGTGACCAGTCTCTCGTCTGGAAGCCTGAGGGTTCAGATCAGCTGTAGTTGATAACAGTACTCGTGATGTTGTAAGAGCACAATCGAACACCATTAGTAGCAGTGCTTATTATTAATCAAGGACAAGTTGTGATTGAACTTGTGCTGTTCCATCACTGACTCTTCCCACTGGCTACAGCTGTACTTCAGCCAGTGGGGAGTCCAGCTGCTGCAAGAATCATCAGCTTGGAGCGGCCATCTTCCTCAAGTTCTGCTTTTTGTGAGACCTTTCTTTTTCTTTTGACTTTTAAGAGAAACTGAAAGCATCTTTTGGTTTATTGCCCCTTTTCATTCTGGACAATTAAAAAAAGAGGTATTCCTGCTAATGGTCATTATTTTCTTCAGTTTTGGCCAGTTCTTATTTTAACTTTCTTAATTGTACTCAATGATTTGAAATCAATGTCTGTCTCTATACAATAATGGCTTGTAGAGAATAACCCACACATGTAATATGTTTACAAGAGGTTAATATTTAATTGAGGAGATGATTGTTGATGGGACACTGGAATAGGACGTCATGCTTATGGACATAATGTTTTCACTGGTTCACTATAACTATTGTGTACATTTCTTTTTATATTCATTAAAACAAAGTATAGTCACTCAATTCTCTTTTGTCCTTCTGCATGAAGTGTGTCGCAATGTCTCTGTACAGCCTGAAACAAGCCCGTACAGTGTCCTGTGCCTTAGCAGAGACTTTCCTTTCATCAGCTCCGCCCCTTTTGGAACATCTGTCAACTTTCTCCTTTCCTATACTTACATATGCTGTGTGCAAGGCTATGTTCAAAAGACACATTTATTTTTATATATATATTGCATATTTATCAGGTTTAAAGGAACTGTGTATAGGATTGTTTCTCCTACACAGTTGGAAGGCTATGTTGTATTTAAATGGTTGAAATTTGCAACTTCACTAGTTTCCATTAAATCCTACACACCTGGTCCTTTAAATATAGCTGAGGCAGACAAAGAAGTCCAGCTTAGACCAGCAGTGGAAGTACTATGACAATGTAAAACTACTCCGTAAGAATTAAGTCCTGCATTGGTCCTGGAGACATCAGAGCCTGTTCCCCTTCCCTCTGGAGATTAAAAACCTGCAGTTTGTTGACGCAATCAAATTTGTCACATCCAGATAATTTCCACATAACATTCCATTTTTTTCCCATTCTCACTCCATGTGCCATGCTAAGGATTTAGTTTGCTCTTGTTCTTTCATGTTGCATTCTCTGATGTGTGCCCTACAAGTCCTACGAGTCCTCCTCCTCACTGCTGCTGGACTCTCCAAACAGGTCTTCGTCTTTCGGAGCTCGAGTTGCTGAGCTGACAGGATGACTGCACGTTGACCTGGCGCTGATGAGGGTGGGGCTGTGGCTGAGGCCGAGCAGAATGGAGGTCTCGCATCCACGAAGCAGCTTCATGCAGCGGACGCGTGCATCAAGGGAGAGCACCGACAGGACGCTGCACGCCTCCAGGTCCCACAGGCTCAACTGTCCTGGATTATTGTAGCGACATAAGAAGTCACATGAAGACATTGTGCTGCGTTTGATATGACAAATCAATGTATTTCATAAGACAGTAGTGTGCACAGTATGGAAGCCCATTTCCACCAATGTGACAAAAAGAAAAGATTCTGCAAGTCGTTTGTAGATGATGTGTTACAATCCCCATGATTTCACTTCTAGATGATTTAGCGACAGCAAGTGCATTTTAACTATAAAGGTCCCACAGTTCTGTTAGAAGTCACACAGCTATAGACCTTTTCCACAGCAGCCATTTTGACATGAAATAGTAGGGTATAGTCTACTTGCCAACAAATTGAACCCAGAATTGGTTGGAACCCGTGTTTGAAATGTACAGTATGCTGCTAGATGCTAATTTGCATATGTTGGGCAATTGGTATAATTGTCACCCATATGAACAATATTTCAGCAATTGCTTGGCTAATTTGGACAATGTAGGCATGGTTTTGGGGGTTATTGAGGATGCTGAATCCATGTTACATAGAATTTGGGGACCTCAAATAATTCTCAGCATAGCTCTGTCCACCTTCAACAGGAGCATAGTTCTAATCAGGCAGAATAAGTCCAAACATCTGTGTCAGTGTGTAGGACCTTTAAGTTCTGGATAGTTCCGCTAGTGTGTAGAGTATTTTAACAGTTTATTAGTTCAAATTCAACAACTGATGACTGAACACCACTGTGGATAAGGTTCACAGCAGCTGTGATATCCAAACATCTAGGTTTGGATATGTTCATGAATTGTTACATATAGTCTCTAGATACACATATTAAACATCTACAGACACAGCTAAACAGTTGAAATGATACAAACCCTCCTATCCAAATAAAGTGTTAATTACGTTTTTTTTTTTGCTACCGTTGATTAACCCCCTTTAATGTCAGCTGACATTTAATTCATTTTAATTAATTAACGCTGATTCTGTCAGTTGTCCAAGCGATAGGAAGAAGACTCTTGGCTGTTGCCTGAATCATATGCACTGTGAATGAACTGTTAACCATGGAGCAATTTGTAACAAACAATTAATGTAATATCTTAAAGCACTTAATGTGGACAAAGCTGGGCAAAACCTTTTCTATAGAAAGGTAACTCAATTTAGAAGCTGACTTTTGAACACAAGCAATTGTATTAACGAGATGTATTTACAATTATGTTTGGTACAAATGTGTCTTCTTTAAAAAGTCCACAAATACAGGCCAGAAAATAATCGCAATTTAAATCAACTCTCTGCTGGTAACAATAAAAATCGCTTAATACTTATTTGTAATTTTTTTTTCACAATAGTTCACCCAAATTACAATAAACATAAAATTCATATAAGATTTCCAATGATTTTTTCTATATTTAAAATGGGTCAATCAACCCCTTAATGTGGTCGATTTTAAATATGATAAATCATAACAACAGCAAATGGGCATTAAATAAAAATAACTGTATATATCAGCCTGAGAATGATTTCACTTTCTTGAAAGTGTGAAAACATGATGCAATATGCCACCTTAATGTGAAAGAGCCTTGAGGAAACAGTTGTTTTTTAGCAGCAGAGTGTGAAGACAAACACAGTCATATGACTGAGGCCCTAATAAGCCTTTCAATTGTTTATAGGAGCTTTTAATAACTTGCAGTTGTGTTTCCTACCTGACAGCAGAATGGCTCTGGTTCCTCCTTCTGTCATGTAAAGCTCACTGGAGACTTCTATCGTCAGGTTCCCATAGCCACAGATGCTCCTGTAGTTCCTCCTGAAGGGATCCCACACTTTAAGCCTGTCAAAGCCAACATATGCAACTCTAATGAATATATATAAGAAAATATTTTCACATCAAAACATGTAAATCTGAGTACAGATAATACTGGATTTGTCAAAATGCTAGTGGAGCACAATGGCAGGACAATTAGCATCATTATCATCTCAGTGAGTTTTGACTAACGTGTGAAACGTTTATGTTAGCATGTGAAGGCTGATAGCCTTGGGGGGACAATCCACTGTAGTTCCTTATTCAACCCCCTCATGTTCTCCAAAATATATATATATATTTTTTACACTCTTTATTTGTGACCCCTTACTGTAGTTACTTTTCATAAAAGTAAAAACAAAGCATGTAATAAATAACCAGCATTTGTATGAGAATAACTACTGTAAATTTCTTCCCACCACATCCCAACCTTTCAAAATAATAGCACTACTAATAGTGGTAGTAGTAGTAATAATTGTAATAATAATAGAGTTACCAAATAAGTAAAATAAGGTAAATAAAAAAAGGGTTAGTTCAGTGAAGAAAGTATTTATCTTCTTATTTTATTTGTCAAATTTGTGTGTTAGAGGTTGATGTATTATATAATGTATTTATGAATCTGCACTCTGTAAGGGATAATGCCTGACAAGGTGTCCATTATCAGGAATTAATGAACACTTCACTTATATTGTGGTCTTTTGGAACAAAATCAGAGGATTCATTTATATTTTCATGCGTTTTCAATCAATAACTAAGTTTTTTACAAGCCATAACTCTTGGTTTCTATGGTAACGCCTCAGAGTTTGATTAGTACCTGGAAGAATCATCAATAAGGTTCTTTTGCAATGGAATCATCATTCACGACTCCAGTAAATAGAACGGACCATAGTCAATAATATTTTTTCAGTAAACTCACAAAAATAAACCATCCTCCAGTTTAACAACAACCTTTCAACCACGTCTCACAGTCTTAGCGAATAGTCTGCTTACTTTTCCTGAAGATAGGTCAGCTGTTATCACATGATAAAACAACTGAGGAAGACTATGAGATGCTCCAGAAAAAGCTTTAAGGTTGTTTAAAAAATAATGGTTCTATGCTCAAGAATGAACTTTCATTCGCTCAAAACATCCTCCAGTTTAGTGGAGTGCGGTAGACCTCTGCCTTCCCTGCAGCAGCTGTGAACACACGTCAGCTGCTGTGTGGAATTCATTATCTGAGTAAATGTTGCTGTCGAGCACAGTGTCACCCTGAAGAACTACAGTAGCATACAAAGTGGAGTGGGATGTTCCCCTGATGTCTTAGAGCACTCTGAAGAAGAGGAGCTAAAGATGAGGCATCTTAGGTACAGTATAGATGACTAGTGTGGTGAGGGGGGCTCAATCTTATATTTCATTTTTATTACAAAGCCAGAGCCTTCTTGGCCTTATTTGTATCTAGCAAAATAAACGGTTTTACAGATACTACAGGCTCCAGCTCTGTGGCTGCAATATTTACACCCTGAATTATACAATAAATAGCCTAAAAATAAATATGAATCAGATCAGATGCTGTCGGAGGCTGACGTGTGTGAGACCAGATGTCTGACTGTCACAATCAAAGTGATAACATGATGCCAAGGCGTGTTGAAGACCTTTCGTCCAGACGGCTGTTCCAAATAGCACATTGTTAAATATCAACATGCACGTCAATACTGTCGATAAATAAAGTTCAGTGCTCGCTGACGTTACAGACAGAGCTGTGTGCAGCATTCTGTACCGCTGTAACTGAATGGGCAAAATACACACAGACAAGCTTTGTTGCCTCATTCTGGATTCAAAATCTTAAAAAAATAAACATGAATTACACCAGATTATATTGTAATGTTTATGAGATCAGTTATCTGGATGTCATAAACCAATTTGACAATGCCTGAATTGCATAACCAGGCGTGTTGGAGACTTCAAGTTAAATAAGGCTGCACAGCTTTCTTAAAGGGCACTGTGTAATAGTAATGTTTCCTCCCCTTTGTCATAACACACGCCATGTCAGTGTTCAACTGACGCACAGGCACAAATTCAAAACAGCACAAATTGACCCTTTCTAAGCCCTGCCCCTTTTTTCTTTGTGCTCCAATGACAGTTGAGCAAGCCTCTGTCAGAACCTTTCCTGTACTTAGATATGCTATGTGCTAGGGTAATCTATGTTGAAAAGATATTTTGAAAATGGTTAAAAGATAAAAGAGATATATATAGTTATATCTTAAGTTAGCTTAAGTTAGTAAAACACTAGCTAACTACTGAGTTAATCTATATAAATTGTTAGCTGGTTTTGCTAATATTAGCCTTCAGATGTAACTAGCTAGCCAACCACTGATGTAGATTTACATAAAGACAATTATTTTCTGTATTACAAGTTTTCTTGAAATGTTATGTTTAAATATGCAAAAGAGGCATTATTTAATGATAACATTTGGTCAAATCTACAGACGCAAACAGACAAAGATAAAATAATAAACACCTGATATGCATTTTAGTCTGAAAGAAGACATGTTATGGAAGCTAAACAGTGCAAAATCTCAAAATTGACCACTGCATGAAAAAACATGTTATTACCTGCAGTGTCTCGCCTTAAGAAAGCCAAACACATACCTGTTGCTTCCTGTGACCCCAAAGACAACTCTGTCTGCACTGTCTGTGATAGCTACACAGCAAACTCCAGCCTCATTCCGCAGTTTTTTCTTCACCTAAAGGAATTTGTACAAAAAATAACCTCACGTCAATAAGACATCTCAAATCATCCACATGGCAATAACAAATTACCTATTTTGGTCATCAGACAAACACAAGGAATAACTGTTCCAAAGAGTTCAATAAACTTTAAACATAAAATTTAAGAGCACAGTGACAACACACGGTTCCTGTGTGCAGGTCCCACAGGGTGATATAGGGGGTCCTCTGGTCTTGGTTGTAGTTGGTCAGCACCACGTGGCTGCCAGTGTAGGTAAGGGCTGCAGTGTGGAGGCTCAGCAGTGATGATTTATCCTCCAGGGTGTGGAGGTGTTCCTGGGAAACCATGCTGAAGACGTTGAGGTGGTGAGCAAAATAGGAGCACACAGCTACCTATGAAAACAAACAAACATTAATGGTTTCGTTTTGAAGGAGGAAGTTACTTAAGAAAAATACATATATTGCGGGACTCCGTCGAGACCAACTACAATATCTAGTGGCCAAGTCTGAGAGCAAATAGTGACAAATCCAAGACAAGTCAGAGACCGTACTCGAGTATTCAACATAAACATTATCTTGTCCTCTCACTGTGTTGCTCTGCTGCTGTGTACCTGTTCATCTCCGCTGAGGACGTACTGCTCTATAGAGTTGTATTTTTCTCTATCCAGCCTCCATTTCGCCTCCCTCTCCCTCTGTGCCTTTTTCTCCAGCCTTTTCTTCTTTGCAGACTGGCTCTCAGTCCGAACGTCCCATGGCATCACTGTGGCAAGGCAACAGTTACTGTTCAGACCAGATATTAATGAAGACTGATTTAACAGGAAGTTTTCATGGTAGCAGAGCATCTATTATTTAGGCTTTTTATATTGAGGGTTGATTGTTTTTATAGCTGCAAAAACAGCCCCAAATCTGTGAGATATCTGTGAGATGTGGGCTACACACACCTGCAGGACGTTGGCTGTTGTTTCCTCCCATTATAACATCCAAATATACTAATAAACAAATATGAGTGAGGACATTTTGCCTATGTTTACAACTTTAAAGCCACTAAGTGAAGAATCCAGAGGAGGCAAAAGTACACACATTCCTTACTACAATAATCACAGCCTCTGAAATGTACTCAAAGTAAAAGTACACTCTTTCTCTGAAAGACATTTTATACCGGCTGTTTCTGTGCAAAGCCAACTGAAATTTCAAACAGGGTCAAGTCTCCCTCTCTCGTCTGTTTCGTCATGTTACGTCTGTAATGCGTGATATGTACTGGTCTTGGTGTTGGAACTGCAGGCAAGGATGCAAAAAATGTTTTCCTTCAAATGCATCAATAGTAAAGTAAGGAGCATGTTTTGAAAAGAAAAAGTAAGGAGCAGAAAGTACAGATAACTGTGTAAAACTACTACAGTAACAAAAGTACAGTAAGGAAGTATTTGTACTTTGTTACTTCCCACCTCTTGTAGAATTTTGAAAAACTCTGTCACTGATATGGTGCTCTATTGGGTTTCAAATTAAAGCTGCAGTAGGTCATTTTTATAAAAAATATCCTAACAGTACATAAAACAGATAATCTGTGAAAAAGTCAGGTTCCTCTGGCTCCGCCTAGTGCTCCTAATGACATTTACCAGAATCCACTGGGTCTGGAAAAATGACTGTAAGGAAAGTGTTTTAGCAAATATGACAAAAATATTTTTATATATATTACCTACTGCAGCTTTAATACTCACAGTAAACGTGAATGTTGTTAAAGAGGCTGTTCACAGAGAAAGTAACAGGCAGCTCACATGTTGTGTCCCTGCGTGCTGTCACATCAGGCTGCAGGTCTCGGATTGTGCTGCTACACAGGGTCAACTCCCTGTGGGATGCTTTGATCTCATGTTTGATAGAGCCAAAGTCCAGATCCCAGAGGATCAGATGATCTCTGCAATGACACCCAAGAGACAGAACCTTAACTGGGCCATATGATATACTAATATACAGTAAGAATAGCTTTATTAACATGTTTGATATTGTTTTTTGTTTTTGATTCTATTTTACAACATACATATACATACATTTCACATATTACATACATTTTCAAGCCATTCTCTACTCTTATGTGGTATAAAGTATCTCTATCATTGCAGACTTTGCCTGTATTTCCCAGATGAACTCCTACCTGGTCTCTGATAGGCCCAGAAGAGTCCGCCCATCCTCCAGAAGACGGTACTCGTGCTGGGGACAGGGAATCACCGCAATCCCAGTCTGTCTCCTCACGTAGCTCCGCTTGATCAAATCATACACCAGAAGAGTCTGGGAGGTCACACATGACATGTCAGTGTTTCTGAACACGTGTTCCCAAAATGAGATGACAAGATGAGAGTCTGACCTGGAATCGACACTGGGGGGCTTCCACGCTGCTCATAGTGCTCCTGTCTGTAAAGATGTAAAGTTTGAAGTTGTGGGCGAGGACTGTGTCGGTGCTGCCGTAGAGGCCGTGCTCCACTCGAACTGGTCGGCAGATGAAACGCCGTCTGCCCAGGTTCCACACATACACGGTTCCAGCTCTGATAGAGCGGCACACAGCATACCTGCCAGCAGAGGGAGCCAGAGTCCAACAAAGAGAAAATGCAACTATGGACTAGACATCAGGTTCCATTTTGGTGGAAAGTGCTGATCCTGATACTTCATATTTCCTGAATTTTTCATTCTCCTAAGGTTGGAAAATTTCTTAAAGAAAACAGAAAATTCATTTATATCATGGCGTCCTGACTAAATATTGAGAAACCCTTTTCCTGAATTCCTTCTTGGAACATCATTAAAGACTAAACTGGTCATCACATCAATCTTCCATTATAGTGGTTCCATTAAGGCATTAATTTACTAAAATTAACATTTTACTCATGTTTGATTCTAGTGACTTAACGAAATATATAACTGTTGGGATCCAAGGATACCTTTAAACATGAACTTGTCCATTTGAAGTGTTTAACTGGACCAAAAGGGAAAAAAGGCAAAAAGAAGATGGTGCGGCCTGTATGTGAGTAATAAAGCCTGATTGTAGTACCAGATAACAGACCCCTCTGCAGGGGTCGAGAATGCAGCCAACGGATAAACAAGAACTGTTTAATTACTGTTAAAGTTACTGATGTGTTTTATTCAGCTTATTGTATTGTGATGTTGATTTGATTAACTGAGGTTACTGTAGTAACTGTAGTCTTTCAGACAGTACTAAGGTGATGTTAGTTTAATGTCATGCTACACACAGACACCGTCTCTGCATGCAACTAAGTCCCTTTTTACGGCACCGTTAAAGGACAATTCCGGCACAAAATGAACCTGGGGTTAATAACACTTATTTACTGAGTTGGTCTGTTCTCTGGGATATGTTTTCATTCTAATCGCACGTGACCAGCGGCTTGTACTTCCTCCTCTTGATTTAAGTATCATCCTGATATTGTACGTAATGAAAATGACAGAATTCTCCATTTTAACCAATATTAATAATTCCATTCGGATTTATCCTCAGGAACACCTTTTCATGGGGGATGTATGTATTGTATTGTCCCTAGGATCTTTATAATATATGCACATTTACAAATTAAACTACATACATACTCAGGCTAACATCAGTGCATAGATGTAATGAGGGAAGTTGCTTCACAGTTTTTGAAAAAAGTGAAAAAATAATAACAGGGGGTTCTGCAAGTCTCCAGTAACCATTAAGAACACCACAAAATAAATAGATAATTGTGTAAATAAATCATTTAACCCGGGCAAAATGCTGCACCTGGTCAATTGGTAGTGTATGGCTTAGTATATGATTGAATAGAATTTGGAATACTGGTTCTTTTCTGTTTTGGAGGTCCTGAGTGATGAGGCAGCAAAGATTCAGGTGCCAGAGGGGAGCTGTGCAGTCCTGTCCCCCTGTCTGCTCAGCATGCGCTGCTCTATACAAGCTGGTGGAGGATGACTGAAGACTAACCTTCTGACCTTCTGCAGATACACTAATGCCAGAGACAGACTAAAATACAGGAGGCAATTTCTGTTATGTCATAAACATTGCAGCAGCTCTGTGTGAATTTGTTTGTGTCTGCATTGGGTCTTAGAAATAAAATAATAATATATATAGAAAAAGTTAAATAGGGAGTGGATGGGTTCAAGGAGTGAATGGCTTGCATCTCTAACAAAAAACATTTACCTACGTAAACTTTATA